CCGGTGCTGCTGCTGGGGGAGCCGCCGCCCCCGCCGCGTCTGCCGCCGCCTCCCCCCCGGCTGGTGCTGGTGCTGGTGCTGCTGTCGCCGGAGCCTCTCCGGCCGCGGGAGGACCCCCCCCGGAGGAAGAGGGGCTGCAGCCGGGCGGCGGCGGGGGGTGGCGGGAAGGAGCCGGACGAGGTCGAGACCGAGCGGGGGTTGCCGAGCGCTGGGTGCATTGTCCTCCGAGGGGCTCCGGGGGGCTGCCCAGCTGCTCCCTCCCGGCCAATCCCGGGCTGGCGAGGCGGCCGAAGGGAGCAGGGCCAGCCGCCGCCTCCTCCCCGGCGGCTGGGACTCGTACCCGGGCCGGGCAGCAGCGGGATCCGGACTGGAGCCGCCGGACCGGGCGAGCCAAGCCCCGGGTGGCTGCGAGCGGGTAGGCGAGGGGCTGAACCCGCCGCGGTGACGGCGGGCGCGGCGGGGGCGGGGAGCGAGCCCGGGCGGAGGGAAAAGGAAGGCTGGCGGCGGGGAAACCAGGACTGGATTCAAGGGGGAGAGGAGGAGGTGAGACCAGAGAAGGAGAAAGCCCGGCTCGCTGGATCAGCAGAAAGAAAAGGCGGAGGGGGATGCTGAGGCAGGAAAGTTGGGGCAGGGAGCCCTGTGGGCCTGGAGGATGACAGGGGAGAAGGATGCAGCGTCAGAACCAGGAGGGACGCTGGGTGGCAGGTGGGGGCGTGGGCGCTGGGGGGACCTAAACGGAGCATAGGATTCCTAGAGAGGCCGCTCCGAGGTCCCACCAGCTGAACCGCTGGAGCGTTAGTGACTGGATGGCCTTGGTCTCAGTGTGGACCTGCCTCGGAAAACCGGGCTCAAGTGACAGGTTCAGGCCTCTGCTCCTGGTCTGCACAGCTTCTTTGCAGGCAGCAGGGCAGCTCTGGCCTCTACTCCTGGTCTGCACAGCTTCTTTGCAGGCAGCAGGGCAGCTCTGGCCTCTACGCTCTGTTCAGTGCCCTTTCTCCTGGGCCGTCCTGCCTCTCCTTAAGGCACTTCAAAACTAATTGGAAGAGTCAGGCCATACCAATGAAAGGACCAGGAACAGCAGCCCCAGACATAGATTTCTACATATTCATGTGCCTGCACTGGGTTCAGTGAGCCACCATCTGGGAGGTCCCCATTTCCAGTGAATTCCAGCTTGTGTGATCTCAGAATATAACTGCTCGGGAAGAGAGGACAGGTGAAAGAATTGTTCATGTGGCCCCAGCCAAGCAGGGCTTTGGTATTCTCCAAAAGGTTTTCAAAGCGGGAATTGGAAATAGTAGGAAGATGTATCTAGAAGAGAGGAAAATAAAGGGACATTTAAAGGTAGGGATACCTTGATAAAAACAAAGCCTCAGAGGGGGTAATGGTGAATGTTACAGCCAGCTGCGGGGGACAGAAGGCACAGGGGCCCTGCATCTACAAGTCAGAGCTCACCCTGACTCGCCCCCATGACCGGGGCTGGAGATCGCACAGCAACTCAGGAAGACAGCAGGTGGAGTGATGTCTTTGGGGCTTTAGGGGAGAAACAGTGACTGGGGCAGTTGAGGCTCATATATAGTGCAAACATCCAGCCACATCACAGCAAGGCTGGAAGCTTGCCTGCCCCCTCCTCCTTCTTCACACATGCCAGGCTGCAAGTTCCCTGCCTTAACTTCACACTGGTAAAGCTGCTGCCACCAGGGCTCCCCTTCCTAGGGAACAGCACGCAGCACGAGGAAGGGGGCAGGGAACCACGGCACTCGGTTGCCCAGGCCTTGCCCCTAGATCTGCCTCTTGAATAAGAGTCAGTTTGAGCCAAACCTGCTTTCTCCAGTCTCTTGGAGGTCAGTCTGTACAATGAATCCATGGTAGATGTGGGAGTTAGAATCATTTCCACCTGCCCCTGGCACACACAACCTTTGAGAAGTTCTATGTCCAATCGTCCTGCAAGGCAGAGTGGGTATGATGGGGAGAGCTTGAGCTCTGGGGTTGGTGGTCTCAGCTCTGCCACTTCATTTGTGTAGTCTTGGACTGGTTATTTCACCCCTTGAGCCTCAGATTATCCAACTGTAAAAAGGGACCAATGTCCATTTTAACAAGCTGTTGTGTTAAGAGAGGTCGTGTGTCCAAAGCATTTAGCCCAGTGCCTGGAAGTTAAAGGTAGCAGGCGTTATCAGCATAATTCCATTGAACTCATGTCTTAACTTCCCAGAGAACATTTACTCATAGCCCAGGCCACTAATGACTGTTTTCTGGGCTGGATTCCTTCCTGAAGCCACATTCAGAGATCTGCTCCCCGACAGCTTTGCACTTCAGTAAGTGCCAGGGAGCAAAACTGCTCTCATTAGGAGCAGTGGTTCTTGGAGCTGGTCTTCACAGGCTTCACAGTGTGAGAGATTCAGCTGTGCCAGCTAGTGCCAAGGCCCACCCACATGGGGCAAGGTGAGGAATAAATGGCGGATGCAGCCTGTACTCATGGGTGAGCATCACAGCAGGTCTGGCAGACATCAGGGCTGAGCCAGTCCAGGTTGAAAAGCGGATTGGGGAGCTGCCAGCTGCTAATGGGAGTGATTACAGCAAGTCTCCCAGCTTTCCCCCAGGGAGAGCACCAGCCAACAGCTAACCTGAAAGCTGGCCCAAGACTTCTGCTCAAGCGAAGGAAGCCGTCGAAGAAGCAGAAGCAGCTGATGAAGGCAAAGAACTGGGCTCCTGAAAGAACACTGACGAACGGGCCCCCACTCGCCACCCCCACGCTGCACTCCCCTACTCACACATGCTCCCCTCCTGCTCTCACCCGTCAGGCCTGACCCTCATCCCACAGGTGCCTCCGTGAGGACAGACGCCCCCCTGATAACTTGGATTGTGACAGCCCTTGGAAGTGACCCTTTGTATTTCTGGGAAATGTGCTGTCAATCGGTCAGATTGACATTTCTGTATAAGATTCTTTAGCCCAATTTCTTTCAGGTCTGAGGCCCTGAATCAAAAGACCACGGACAATAAGGATGAGAAATCAGGGTACACGACAGAATAAGTTGGTGGTCTGAGTATTGGCGGGATCTCCTCTTTGCACTGGGTTTTTTCTAATCTTCTGTGTACGCACACACACAGCCTTTGCTTCAGCCTGGAAAGGGCTTGATGAAGATGTGACAAGAATGAGAAGGAAGGCGAAAAGACTCCCTCATATATAAAGTGAGTACAAACATCCCACAAGGATCTAGAAAAGGGAAGACAGTCTCCAAGCACCTCATGAACACTTAGAATCTATGCTAGATATCTTAGATACAATACCTGGAAACTGAGACAGAGAGGTAAAGCAACTTACTCCAAGTCACTCAGCTAGTTAAGGGCAGCATTTGGGTTAGATCTAAACTTCTGACTCTCAGCCCAGTGCTCTCACCTGCCTACCACTCTCCTTCTCACAAGCCTAGGATGGCAGTAGCTCATAGGCATCCCGGGAGACATGGACAAACTAAACAGCTTTCAACCCAAAAAATATTTCCCTAAGCACCTGTTAAATGCTGGGCTCTGGGTAAGGCTCATCTGGAGACCTAATATTCTTGTCCTCCTGGAACAGAAAGGCTAATGCTCACTGCCTTCCTGCAGCACAGTAGCTGGACTAGGAGGAAGGGAGAGAGGTCCCTAGTCAGCTCAGCAGCAAAGAAAAGCTCAGGGAGGCACGGCCAGCCTGTGCTAGTACTGAACTAGGGCCCAATTCCCTACTGATCCAGTCTCTGTTTACTATTACTGCCCTCTTTCACCTGCACAGCAAGAACAAAGAACAGGTCCAAAGGGAACACACGGGGGTGGCAGGGGGGCGGGAAGCCTCACAGGTGCTCCCTGTGAAAAGACACAAGCAGGGCCCTCTGGTTCCCAATTACACGGTCGCCATCCTGACTCTCAGAAAATGGAAGGGAAGTTGGCAGGAACTGTGACTGAAAGCAGGATGGGTCGCAAAGCGCTGGCTTATTAGGAACTTGAAGCGTCAAAACTGCTGTGAGAGCTCTCTGAAGACAGACACTCCAACGACCCTGACTCAGAGCTCCTCTCGTACCTGGAGCCAGGCTGTGCCTGGAGCTGCCGAGGATGTCTCACGGTGATGCTGCTACCCTCCTGGGTAAAGGAGAAGGCCCAGCATCAGCACCTCTGTGTGTCAGTCCCTGGGCTAGGTGCTGGGGTTCCAGAGACTGAGAAGCAGCAAGTCCTTTCCTAGGAGTCCAGACTGGGAGGGAGACAGAC